TAATCTATTCTTGAAATCATATCATACCATTCATGGCTATGCATGAATCATTTTCTAATGCACGGCCGTATTAGGATAGTTTCACATTTAATTATTTACTTACCTTTTGTATTTTAGGAATGACTTTATTATGGTGAGAATTCCTTGGTAAAGGATTAATATATGTAGCATGGTCCTAAAATTCTATTTAAATTAATTAAAAATATTCTTTTTTTATTTTTTAAATAGTATTTATATTTCTTCATATTTATTTTTAATTTTTTATATTATCATCATAATTGGAGTTCGTATTGTTGTAATCTGAATACAGATATTTACATATAATATTATTGATTATCCAAGATACATAATTAAGGATTGCCATATATAAGTAAAGATATCGAAAATAATATTAGTATTATCCAAGATACATAATATAAGTAAGGTGATGAATAATATACTCGTGATCATAATTTACAAATTTAGTATAATTTAGGATTGTTTCTTAATAAGATTTTCCGTAAATTTTGTTAATGATCATATATAAGTAAGGTGATCAATAATATATACTCATGGAATTAAGACAAATAAGTAAGGAATCAAAAATAATATTGAAATTTCTATTAGTATATGTGCTCTATTGATTTCAACCTATATATACACGAATTTCCATTAATAAATCTTTGTTACTTATTAATTTAAGTATGAAATTTATAAATATGAAAGTAAGATAAAGGATTAATATATGTAGCATGGTTCTAAAATTCTATTTAAGTTAAATGAAAATTATTATTTTTATTTTTTATTTTTTAAATAGTATTTACATTTTTTCGTATTTATTTTTAATTGTTTATATTATCCTCGTAATAGAAGTTCGTATTATTGTAATCTGAAAAACATATATTAACATATAATATTATTGATTATCCAAGACACATAATTAAGGATTTCCATATATAAGTAAACGGATCTAAAATAATATTAGTATTATCCAACATAAATAATATAAGTAAGGTGATGAGTAATATACTCGTGATCATCATTTTCAAATTTAGTATTATTTAAGATTGTTTCTTAATATATTTTTTTTGTAAAAAATAATATTCTAATTTCCAGTAATATAGGTACTCTATTGATTTTAACTCTTATTATACACGAATTTCCACAATAAACCTTTGTAACTTATTATTTAAGTATGCAATTTTTATTTCCGCTGGTTACTTGGATATTACGTAGCATGCTGACATGTTTAAATTTTGCCACATAGACATGCCAAATGTCGAGTTTCTGTGCATCCAAGTCTCCTTTATTATATTAAAGGATTCCCCATCAATTATAAGGAGAGGGCATTAATGTGTCATACACGAAAATTCAGTTAGTTGGTGTGACTGCATGACATATTTATAGTATGAGTGTTTGTTTATATTTATACGCCCAACGAGGCCTGCAGATCACACTGCAGTCGAAAAATTAAATGGCCTCCTCGCCGCCTTCCTCCTCCGCAGTCCGCCGCGAGGCTGCCGCAGTTGCTGAGAATTGGAGCGGTGTGCCGCCGTTGGCTATCGACGACGACAACCAGTTCCGAAAGAACTCCGGTCCGGCCGCGGCGTCCGCCATCGCCACCAAGGGTACGTACTCTTACTTCTTACTGTTCGATCAGATGCAAAAAATCTCACACTTTTTTAAAATTACGTATTTCAAATCTACTCTAGAGTACTCCGTATATTAAAAGTTGTACAAAATAACAGATGACAAAGCATTTTATTTTACGAAATTATCAATGAAGATACGTAAATGCACAAATGTTATCGAGAGATCAAAATAATACGGAGCAATGAACTCTTCTTGAAAATTTCATTTTGTTAAAGAACTTATTCAACCACAATTTTGAACTTGTAGTTTGATAATGTCAAAAAACAAATTTATGCTTTAACATGCTCATCTCAAGTGTATGCTGAGATTTGTTTATTCGAGGTTTCACGTTTTGCACGTGATTTTTTTTTTTTGGAAAATATATGATCGGCGCTGATATTTGAACTCCTGACTTTTAGAAATTGTGCTCAAATTAGAGCGGTTTATTTTTAAAAAATATCCTTAGATATGAGTAAAATACCATTAAAATGTCAAAGTAGGACTCACGTTAATCTTATCTCCTAAATAAAAATTTGACAGTGCGTGTGTAAATAGTTGTAGTATAATGACAATATAACATCGTACATGGTGGCAGTAGGGTGGTGGACCACCAGTCAACGAACGGTGGTCAACGCTGGCGACTACCTTTTGGCGATCCACGGTGAAGCTCTGACAGTAGAGTGGCAGCATGGTAGTGTTTAATGTGAGAGTGACAATATGAACTTCTATTTAGTTTACAAAAGAGTGTTACTCTAGTTTTGGTATTTTCATTTTCTTTTACTTTTATTTAGATTTCTTTTAAATTTTTTGCTCGAACCTTACACGTGAACCATAAATTATTAAAGCTGTGTAACACGTGGTTCAGGGGCAGCACTCTTAATTTTTTTTAAGGCTACTATTAATGATGAAAAATGAATAAATTTATTTTCAAACAAGCATTCAAATAAGTAAAATAATATATTTATAAAATAGAAAAATATATTATAAAATATATCATAACCTAATATAACTATTATATTTAAAATATTACCTTTATATTTTATTTTAATAATTATT